TTTCTGAAGAAGGGTCTGGCCCGAAACGTCAGCCTTCCTGCTCCTCTGATGCTGCTTGGCCTGCTGTGTTCGTCCAGCTGTACACCTTGTTATCACAAAGTTGAGGCAGCTGTTCTTCCTTGAGGAATTTTTTAATTTTACTGTAATTTACTTTCCTCCCCCTGTAGCCGCAATTGTTAGAATCACTATCAAAATTCTTTGGCTTGTTACTATGAACCCAAGTGTTGTGACCCTGAATGATGGTAATACTGGAAAAGTCCAATTCCAAAGTGAAATCGAGATTGATAGACCAAAATTTTATTCTTGTATTTGGGTTACCTATGTTTAATTATTAGCAACTTCGTACAAACATATTTAATGCACATTTATACAAAAGGACATGAGTGTATTACACCAAAAGGAGAGGGGAGAGACAACCTTTCTAAAAATTACATTTTAGAAAGATCTTATCATGAGCAACTGAAGAAAAATTAACCTTTTCTTCTAAAAATATCGTTCACAGATGCTGAACCCCAGTCATGCATTATTGCTATCGTAAAATCTCTTCAATTGGCAGGTTTATAAGTAATTCCTTTCACAACCTTTTTGCACATTGACCAGTTGTGACTTTTTCTGTCTATGACACTCAAACCTTTTCTCGTTGAACCTGAAGGAAGATGTGCTGGTTTTTCCTGACCTGCGTACTTGAACCGTTAAAGCAGCTTAAGACTTCTTTCCAACTCTGAAAGCCTGAAAACCTCCACAAACTAAAGACAGCCTTTTTTTTTTTTTTGGAATGCATCTTTTCTTCTGAACTCGAATGCTTGAGGTTGTTGACTGTCTGTCTGTCTGTCTTCTGCATAGTTGCAAAAATTCAACTCTATAAACATCCCTGCAATTTCTTCTCTAGGTAACTTGCTTGTCATTGATCTTAGGTTGTATGCTTAAGCTATTTTCAACTCCCTGCTCAAAAACAGAGTTTCTGATCCTTTTTTTTTAAAATAGGTCACCTTCACAGAATCGAACCAAAAATCCCATTACCTCCACCTTAGAACCACATTCCCAAGCAATATGTGGCAAAACAACTGTAGCATTTTGTGCTTGTGTTTAGTGAGAGACTATCTAGTTAAAACCCAAAAGAAATGATGTATCAAGCCAGATTTCAGTCTAGGATCTGACTTGTCCAATAATAACATCAGCTCGGATCATCAGAAAGTTGACACTCTTACTTTAAAAGCGATCCTGGGCTTGAGGTATAATTTAATTATACAAAATAAGTCCACAACTGAATTATTCTTTTCAAATTTGGCAATTATACTTTAGTTCCTAATGTTAAGGCCTTCTAAATTTCTTCTACATTGTCTCCTTGGATGGTAGCATAGTGAAATATGTGAAGAAATTAGAGAAGCAAGAGTTTTTCTCATTGGAATAGAGAATGGTCATAAAAGACTTACAAAAGGTTTTTTTTGGAGTTACGAGCACTAGCAGTAGGGTCAGTGATCGGTAATCAAAAATATGCGCTTAGTGTGATGGATGTGGAAACCAGAGGGACATTAAGAGTTTTTTTTTATTACACGGTAGGTTTATGATCTGGAATGCATTGCCTGAAATGATGATTAAAGCATTTTTCTATAGCAATTTCAGAAAGAGTATTTGATAAATGGGAAGGGCAAAATTTATAATATTTTATGGAAAGAATGGGAAGTTATTTTGGTAGGTCCTTGGCAGCTCTTTTAGAAGCCCCAGTGGGCTGAATGGCTTCCTTTGTAAGCGACATTATTCTGAATGTATAATCTATTATTTTTGTGCGTTGATGACCTGCAATACTTTGTTTAACTTTGTTCTTTGTTTAACTTTTTTAAGACAGTTATTGTGCAGACGTCATGAAAGCAGCTAAAGAAGCTAGAAAAAGAAATTTGGGACCTCTGCACCCATCCTTCAACTTAGTAAAAATATTGAAAAATGGACTTTTCAGGAGTCTTCCAGAAAATGCACACCAACTAGCCACAGGCAGGCTCTGCATTTCTCTTACACGGGTATCTGACGGTGAGAATGTGCTGGTCTCTGAGTTCAACTCCAAGGAAGAACTCATTCAGGTAGGATGGAATCTCCTTGAACAGTAGTTTACCTGCTGAGTTAGAAATTCTACCTCTATTAGGATTGTGCAAAGGGATGCTGTAGGACTGCAACTGAGGCGATAGTCTGTGAATTGCTGAGTACCTCCACACCAGAATGGGGATGATGGTAACTTATCACTCGGTAGTGATGACAAATTTTAGGAGTTCTAATGTGTGAGTGATTGATTGTGACTCCTTGCATATTGCCATTATAACAGCAAAATCAGGGTCAGTGCCACTGGCACTGTAAACGCTTGCTATCATTCCTGTACTGAAACTCCAGCAATCGTGTTCGTGTGCAGCAATAAACAAATCCAAAGGTGCTATTGGTAAATGCATGCTGCTCCATACGGTGCACGTTAAAGGTTCCCACAGACTGCTGTCTCCCTTGCAATCATAAATCGACAGAAACATCTATCTAAAGCTGCCAGATCTTCTTATTTTATAAAGAAACTTGGGAAAATGTTGCACTTGTTGAATGAGGCATAACTGGGTGTTTTGATCATTCATAATTACTATTGACCATGATCAATGGCCCTAAATAGTTAATTTTACACTTTTGTGTAGTGTCAAATGTATCCACTGAATACTTCCATACTTTGGCAAACGTTTGAAAGTCCGCCTCGCTTGATTTTAGTTTTTTATGTTAATGAAATCATAACATTTATTGTAAACCTGGAAATGTAAATGAAAGATTTTAAGACTTTGTAACTTCCTGTTCTGCTGTGTATGAGTACTTCAATGTGATTGTCTAGTTGCTTGGTGACATCATTGATGTGGCACACTAAAATATCTCCTTGATTTGATAGCAGATTTGGATTACTGCGGGAAAATGAGCCACTTTTGTCAGATTGCTAGATTTTTTTTTTGTGTACAGTTTCCTTTGAAGCCAATGGTTAACTTCCTCTTTCATCATGGACTGGCCAGGATTTTATGCAATGTCAAAATCGTGCAGGGATTGAGCTACTGATGGGCTTATTTTGTTTTAATGTTGTTCTATTTATAAGCAAATTCAAAAAAATATTGGTACAACTAGCACTGTTAAATGTCAATTTCATGAGTAAATTGGACTCTTTAAGCAAAGAAGCAAGGTTTGGTTTTGAAAGTCTAAGCCTGTTCAAGCACTCTGATAGTTGCTGTCTGTTGGCCAAGTGTTCTTCCTCACTGCAATGACTGCCCATTACACTTTGTCTGAGGTTTGGGTATGTTCAAATGATCAACACTCCCCACCCTCCGCCCAAAAAAAAGTTGCATAACTTAAAAATACTTCCTTTTCTTTCCCCTTCCCTCCCTGAGGCCCAACTATGTCGATTTTTAGGATCTGATTCCTGCACTTCGTTCCATAACTTGTGGTGTTTTATGCTTTAGCTCTGAATACTGCATTAAAAAGTACCTATCACAAATATTTCTGTTTTTGCTTATTCCTATCAGGCTCTGATCTGCAGTGCCTTTGTTCCAATTTATTGTGGACTTATTCCGCCATCTTTTCGAGGAGTGGTAAGTGTCTTTTTTTTTGATGTTCTGAAAAACCTATCTCTTCAATCCTGACTAAAACCCCTCTTAACCTGTAAAGGAGGGTTAATATAGCTAAATGGTCATGCATCAATGGGGATCGAACATGACGGATTCGGAACGCCTGATTTCAATACAAGAGCCTTTAAGAATGCTGCAACATTGACAACTTTTGGTCACAAAAGTCACGAACAGGAATTTTGATCTGCTGACTCAAAGATGAATGGATCTGCCATTTGTGTTTTTTTTTTTTTTTTTTTTTTTTTTTTTTTTCTTCCCACCCCAAGTGGGATAGCAAACTTTCTGTGGTGAGAAAGCAGAGTTAACATTTTGAATCCAGTGACCTTTCTCCTGATCACTGGATTCAATATTAATTCTGCTTTCTCTTCACAGTTGCTGGTGGTCTTACTGAGTTTCTGCTTTTGTTTTGAATCGTCTTCATCCACAGATCTATCTTATTTTAGCGAATTTTTCTGGTATGTAGCAAGACTATAAGAATGTCTCGGATTTCTTCTGGTGAAAACTGTAATGACAACTGGTAGAAATCTTCAAATCAACAAAGTAATTTTGCGTAAGGACCTAGATGAATTCTTGCTGTTTGGTTTCCCCCAATATCTAATTGCTAATAAGGTAGGTGTTTCCATTATAAAACATGGGAAGAATTGGCCAAAGTTTGATCTTGCACTTTGAATGTTTAGCATTAGAATCCTAGGATGACTTCTTGATGAGGTATTGATACAAAGAAAATCAATCTCATTTTTAGAAAAATATGGAAGTCCCCAGTTTAGCATAATCTGACCACTGCCATTTAATTATTTTATTATCTTTTTTTTTCAACCTTGCTGATGACCAATGTGTAACAATCTCTTTAATTAAAAGTAAAACATTTGACTTGCCCTATTGCTCTGTAGTTCTTTCTGTCCCCAACCTACCTACTTACTGTGCTGCTGCCAATGTGAGTTCAGGGATTGGCCCTCAATGATTGTTGCCTCTGATATCAGACTCTGTGAAATTGAGCTTTTCTGTTTTAAGTGTGAAGATGGGATGGTAGAGGAGGAGTGAAGAAATAAATAACACAAATACAAAGGAATTAATAAGGTTCTTGGTTTACAATAGGCATAATAAGTTTACTGAGCCTACATAAAATGCTCTTGTAATTAGGTTCTCCAAAACAGTAATAATGCTATTGACAATGAAAATCATTAGCTATTTACAAAAATACACATGAGCAAAGGTGTATAGCTCACAGTCAAAAGAACGTTTTGTGATTTGTATTTTTTTTTCCAGTTGTGTATTTTATACAATGTTAGTGTTCTCGTAATTGACTACTATTGCAACTCTTAGTATGCCCAGCTCGTGGCATTAGTACGAGTGACTGGATTTGGAATTGATCATTGTAAGACGATTGTATGGAGGATTTGTCGTTTTTACAGACTACACAGTTTGAATTGGGAGGCATTTTATTTGTCTTCCTTTTACATAGGTTTGAGAGAGGAACATATAAAGAGCCATTCTTCACCACAACCTACATAGAAAAATGAGTGACTGCTGAAAGATCATAAAAACATTTTCTGAAGAATGCCGATTGTCATCTTATTGAGTTAACGGTCCTTAAATATCACCCAAGTTGAAAAGCCATAAGAATGCAGATCCAACTTTTTTTCTTGGTTTTAAAAGCCTAAGAGTGTGGGTAGTTTTTCGTGGCAAAGGTGGTGGAGGAAAGCCAAAATAGTGCCATCAGTTTTGAATTAGTCAGTAATATGCACTGACCATACATCCCAATCTGACCACCTCCCATTTACCAGCATTTGGCCCATATCACTTTAAACCCCTCCTATTCATGTACCCATCCAGATGCCTTTTAAATGTTTTTAATTGTATCCACCACTTCATCTGGCAGCTCACTCCATGGACACAAACTGTCTGTGTGAAAAAGTTACTCCCTCAGTCCTTTTTAAATCTTTCCCCTCTCACCTTAAACCTGGGCCCTTTAGTTTTAGACTCCCTCACGCAGAAAAAAAAGAGTTTGGCTATTCTCCCCAACCATGTCCCTTCATGACCTTAAACCCATAAAGCCATCCATCAGCCTCCAATGCTCAAGGGGAAATATGCCTCGGCCTATTCAGCCTCTCCCCATAGCTGAAACCCTTCAACCCTGGCAACACCCTTGTAAATCTTTTCTGCACCCTTAAGTTTAACACCTTTCCTATAGAAGGGTGACCAGAATTGTATGCAGTATTCTAAAAGTAGCCTCAGCAATATCCTGTATAGCCACAACATGACATCAACTCTATACTACAAAGGAAGGTTTGTGGGGTCAGTGGAAGTGGAACAGCACACATAGGATGAATTGTACTGTACCTCTGCACAATTTTCACTTTCAGATAATCCTAATTCTCTTCATAGTATTTATTAAGTTCCTACTTGCAATAACTTATCCTTTTCGAAATAATAAGACCAAATCTGCATGCAGTACTTCTGACATGGTCTCAGTAGTATCAAATGCTGTACTTAAGATGACCATTTGAGTTTGTGCCTTCCTGCATTGTTCCTCAGTTTTATAACAATCAACACAACATTTTACTTTTTGTACTGTTTCTTTAAGAGAATGCATGTTTCAGGACTCCATGTGCCATGTGTATACAATATTGTGACAGTGCCTGCCAGTTAATCTGCTGTGTTCTGTGAGTTGCATCCTCACACAAATCATTGACTGACTTGCTGTGATTTCTGTTTATAACTTGAAATTCTTTTTTTTAAAAAAAAAACAACTAATCCATAAGGTTGGTCAGACTTGATGATCAATAGATTGTTTGGTTTGTTTTGTTTGTTTTTGTTTGACAATATCCTTACATTGACCTTCCTGCTATAATCCCAAGAACTTACTCTCATCTGATACCTTCAGTACAACTGATAATCACTTTTTTTCCACTGATAAATGACATAACCATGAATTTCCCCGGATTTTGTCATCTTAATGGAGAAAACACAACCAAGACAAGAGGAGCAAAGGTTCGGAGGTTAAATTTTGAGTCCCTATAAGCATCCAGCTGTGCAGATGGGCGTGGGACTGCAAGGAGCGTGAGTGAACTGGCCATAGCACCTCAGTACAGGGAGCCAGTCAAATGGGGGAACAGTAGGAATGTAGACTGTTGGGCAGGCCCTACCTGAAAAGTTGCTTTAATTTAAATTTCCAGAACAATTCCCCATACTATTAATACTGCATATTCCCAATTCTGGAGTCCCCTTCCCCAACACACCAAACACATCAGTTTATTACCCCTACCTGTTCTCTCATTAAGCATCTTTGTTCAATTTTGACATTTTACTAAGACAATACAAAATAGGATCAGAAGTAGATCATTTGATCCCTTGAGCAGACTGTACCATTCAAACGAAAAGTCATGGCTGAGTTGCTTTGTTTTTGTTTCCTTTTACCTCCAATAGCCCTTGATTCCCAGCCTAACAAAAAATCTATTCACCTGTCCTAAAGTATTCAATGCCCCTGTTTCCATCCCCTCCTGAGGCCAGGTGTTCCAAAGTCACACCTCAGAATAAAAATACCCTCATCTGCCCTGAAAGGGTGACCACTAATTTTAAAATGGTGCTCTCTCATTCTAGTGAGAGAATAGCATAAACTTTTTTATTGTTTGTTTTTTTAATTTTTTTTGTTTCTAATCACTGAGTGTTATTGGCAAGGCAGGATTGATTGTCCACTCTGTAACTGCTCTTACATATTCATTCCAATGTGGCATTGTCATAAATTAAGTTAGCTCAACCTTGGTGCTGCATGGCACTGCCTCCTAATGCTTCCATCAACCTCGAAGATGTCTTTTGTTCCTTTAATCAGAACATTTTCAAACTCTACCAAAATGCTCACTGGTGCTTCTATTTGAGAACTTTGGTTTTAACTTTGCTTTCTCTCATTCCAATATTCTCAAAAATTCAAACCAAAAACATACTTGTGTGAGCTGTAAAGTCTCTTAAGAGTGCTAATGATCTATCTGATTGTAGACTCGTGGTTGTTTGCAGCACAGAAGGGGGCCATTCACCCCAGAGTAGCCATGCTGGTCAACAAAGATGTGACTACAGTAATCCTATTTTCCAGCTCTTGGCTCATAGCCCTAGAGGCTATGGTAACCAAAGTGAATATTTGAATACTGTTCAAATGTTAGCTTTTCTAATTCAATTACCCTTTCAGGCAGTGAGTTCAACACTCCCATCCTCATGGGTGTGGGAACAAAAATTCTCCTTGGCTCTCCTTTTTGGTTTTCTATCTCTTCCTTTAAATTCATCTTCCTGGTTATTGACCACACTACTAATTAACATAGCATTCCTGCACTTATCTCTCACAGGACAAGTTAGCATGCTTGAAATCCAAAAGATTGCTGCATTATCTTGAATTTATAATTACCATTCTTTCACACGACACCAACACTATTATGCAAGCTTGCAATATTTGGACTCAGTTTTCCAATTTTCCTTTTGTTTTAAAAATGTTAACATTTTATTTTTCTTAAACTAACTATTTTACGATGTGACTTTGGATGAAATTTTGCCTTTAAAAGGCATTCTCAGTCTGAACTGGAGATCTAATGTACAGGCCATAATATTACATTTAAAATGAATCCCTTTTTATTTTGTTAGCGTTATGTGGATGGCGGGATCAGCAACAATTTACCTCTGTCTGAATTGAAGAACACAATTACAGTGTCTCCATTCTCCGGAGAAAGTGATATCTGTCCTCGAGACAACCCCAGCAACTTCCATGAGCTGCGAGTCACCAATACCAGCATCCAGTTCAGCATGGGAAACTTGTATCGACTGACTCGAGCACTTTTCCCTCCAGAACCAAAGGTAGATGGTTGGTTTTTTTTTTTTTTTTTTTAAAAATGACTGACTAGAATTTAAAATTGTTTATTAAGTTTAAATACTTCATTATGCATTAGTGGATTATTTTTCAATGTGATACATTCTTATCCATGTTTCAACAACGGTAGCCCTCGAAACAAAATTTGGCTCCAGCTTTGTTGAATCTTCCTACTCATTTTGTTCTGCAAATAAACCTTTCGGAATCCTTATTTTTATTGTGTTCTATCAGCGTATTTGAATATTTATTTTGAACTGTCTTTGGTGTGTGCACTTGCTGTGCCCCAAACCTATTTCATGTTTGTCCTAAAGATGTCAAATCTGTGCAGGGTTGAAAGATTTTTTATATTTCAAAAAGCCTCCATCCTCTTTGTCTCCCAGTCAGTCCAACCGCAATTAGCTGCTTTCTGAGGCCACATCTTAAACTCTACTTGGGTTTGATGTGAATGTAAAATAACATTTTTGGGGTGTTTTTAGCTGCTGCTCAAGAGAGCAAATGAAATTCGGAACCAGTTGGTTCCCTGATCCAAAGCAGGTAAGCCATCATGGTAACTTGTAAATCCCCTCAGCCTGCTCCCCACCACCGCACCATATGATTTTCACTAGACAGGCGCGAGTTAAATTCACTGACAGCATTACTTGCTCATTCTATTGCGATGATCAGGCAATGGATGACTTCACAATATCTGAAGTCCGTCAAAGTATAATCTCTATGTATTTATAAGCTAACTGTGGACCACATTACAGACAAACTTTTTTATTTTTCCAATGTTGCATTTAAATTGTTCAAAGTAAAATGAAATTCTGAAAACACTTATTTCTCCCCTTATTCATTACACCAATCTCCCAGCTTTTATTTGCATTCATCAAATGAATGTCTTGATGTGATCAGAATAGAAGATACATGGAATAATGTGGGGTCTGCAGTTAAGACGGGATAATGTTTGTAATAATTTTTCATTTTAATATCCAGAAGATTTATCTTCTCTCTTTCTAGTTGCTACTGCACTAGATGTATACCTCAAGCATTTGGTATATTCATTTCAAAGTTATACTCTTTATTTCTTATTCCATGGTACCTTTCTATTTCAAATTGTATTTTATCAGACATAGTAGGCCTTTCAGCCTACTCCACTATTCAATCAGATCATGTCTGATCTAATAATACTCAACTCTACTTTCCTGCCTTTTCTGCACAAGCCTGGAGTCTCTTGATGGATTAAAAATCTGCCTGTCTCCGATTTGAAAATATTTGATGACCCAACCTTGACAGTGCTGTTTAATAAAGAATTCCACCTATTCACAGCCCTCGGCTCCCCTCTGTCTTGAATACATGACTCATTATTTTGAGATCATGCCTTTTGGCCCTATACTATCCCTAGAGGGGAAACTACCTTTTTTCACCCTACTCTGTCAAGATTCTCTAGGAATTTGTTATGTTTCAGTAGGGTCTCCTCTCATTCATTCTTCTAAATTCTGAAGAGTATAGGCCCAACCTACTCGACCTCTCCTTGCCAGAGATACCCTCCATGTTCACTGTCAGTTTAGTACCTTCTCCGGAATGCCTCCATTGACCATTATATCTCCCTTTTTGAGGGGTCGAAACTTTTGACAGCATTCCAGCTGAGGCCTGATTTGTGCTTTGTACAGTTTTTTTTTTGTAAAACCTTCATACTTTCAGACTCTATTCAATTTTTGAAAAAAAAGGCCAACATTTCATTACCTTCGTTATTACCCACAGAATTTGGTTGCCAGCTTTTTGCAATTCATGGATGAGTCACAGATCCCTCTGTTCTGTAGCTTTGTGCAGCCTTTCTCTATTTAAATAATATGAGGCTTCTCTTCTCTCTCTGACAAAATGCACAACCTCACAATTCCCCACATTGTTTTCCATCTGGCAAGTTTTTTTTGCCCATTCTTTTCACTTGTCAATCTCCCTCTGCAGACTTTTGAGTCATCCTAACCACTTGCCTTCCATCTATTTTTGTGTAATTTGCAAATTTGGCTATTGTAAATTAACTTTCCTTATCCAGATCATTTCCCCAGATGCATAGTAATAGAGAACTTAAAAATTGCTTAAGAGAAGCCTAGAAGTTACCACATTTTCCTCCCACACACTTCTTCAAAACAAGGAGGCAAGAAGCAGATTTGGGAAAAAGAAAATACATTGTTTTATACAGAATGAGAGAGTGCTGATTGGTTGGGTTATAAGTGACAGAGATGCAGTGAGAACAGTTAACTGTCAATCTTAACCGTTAGACCAGGCAGGCAGACTTGGATTGATCAAGGATTACATGTAGAGTTTAGCTGTCTCCATCATCCTTTTCATTTTGAAAAAAGTAAAATGTATGTACAAATTGCTTTTTCTAACACAAAACCAGATACTGAGATTTTATGTGGCTTCTAGCATACGCAAATACGTCACACGTTCCTGGTGCAACTTAGAACAGTCCTGATTTATTTAAACAAGTGATTTCTAATAGCAGAATCACATCTAATGGTGGATATACTTTTCTGAGGCTTGCACAGATGAGCTGGTTGAACACAGTGAGGATGCTGTTAGCTGCAAATGGTAAACAGGACGTGTTGTTTGATTGTGGTCTGCCAGTCATTGGGATGTACAGCTAGCATACCAGGCTTTACACTTGTACTGAAACCCGTATCACATTCCCCTCACTTGTAGTAGGGAAAATGTCTTTTTGGCCTGATGACAAAGGCCTCTCAGTGGCAAAAACCATTTGTGGATTGGTTTCTAAATATATTTATCATTACACGTGATTTGGCTGTTGAAAATCATTTTATTTAAAAAAACAAATCCAGACTAATACTGGCAACTAACTTATGATCGTCAGTTGGGCCCATAATGTGCTTTTGCATGTTGTACATAAAGGTTAAATTTTATGTCAGCATAAGGAATTTGTACATACATTGCAACTTTTCAAAAAAACGATGATGGAGACAGCCAAACTCTGTGGCATCACTTGGCAACAACTTGACCAATCAGAATCTGCATTGTCTGGTATGAGAATTAAGTTGATGGCTAACTTTTCATGCTGCATCTCCAGCGAATCATGGCCCAACCAATCAGCAGACTCTTTGCATTCTGTATAAAATGGAGTCTCTGTTTTCTTTTTCACCCCAAGTCTGTTTCTTGCATCGTAGTTCTGAGTGCAAGACAAAAAAAGCTTCAACTTCTGGTTCTAGCTCTTCTGAATTGTGTTCAAGTTTAACTGAATGCAGTGGGGAGAAAGATATATCGTGTCTATCTTGTGTAAGCTTGAAGAGTGGGCAGTTACACCAGGAAGTGATCTTATGTGATTTCTTTCAAAAAAAAATTCTACTGCTACCTTTTTTCTCTGTTAACATGCTTTCTTAAAACAAGGCAAGATGTCTTTACACAGTTTTATTTATTTTCCTGTGCAGCCTGCCTTTATTTTTAAACAAAAATTTAAGTTGATGCAATCTATTTTCAGGTGCTTGGTGAAATGTGCCATCAAGGTTATGAAGATGCACTTCGATTTCTCCAAGGAAATAGTAAGTCCTGAATTTTTTTTTTTTTTTTTGCAGGATTTTGATTATGCATATTATTAATCTGCATTGTAGCTGCCATTTTCTACAATTAATTTTTCATTTTAAAAATGTCCTAGGAGTAGTGCTTGTTTTTCACAAACTGTGAAATATTTCTCTAATTTTTTAAGCAAACAGTATTCTGAGTATCGTTTATCTATATTTTTTTTTTAAAAACAACACGATTTAGATGTATTCACACCATTTGTGCATTGCATAGCTGTCAAAACTAGAAAGTGAATGCAGCCCGAATCCAAACAGAGTCTGGTCTGACTGTGAAATTTAAGTGGTTTCCTGAAAGAAGGGAATTTTGTTCTATTTTACCCCAGAATGTAAAAGTACTCCACTCTGCATTTGCATGTCACAAGTTTAGTGTCTTTGTGCCAGTACTCTCCATTTTTTTTTCTTTTTTTTCTTTTTAGTGTTACAATGTTTAAGAAGCATTGACTTGTTCTATTTGTTTTGCAGTTTCTACTACATGGTGGAAATCCATGTTAGTGCCTTTTAAAATATTATTTCATATGTCAATCTACCTTGTTTCTGTTTGCTTCTCAGATCTGCTTAAAATGCCGGTTCTTACAGTTGATTTGACTTCTGTCACATCAGTGAGGGAGATTGTCAGATCTTACAAACAGAATCAGGATGATTGTTCTAGCAAATCTCTGGAACAGGAGGAGGTAGAAATGGTTATAAACAAAGCTTCAGCACCAAAATCCAAATCAAACAATCAACAATTGAGGAAAAAGCATTGGTCATCAGCCTTGGATGAAAAAATAGAAAATTTACCACCAAGACTTGGTAACGGTAAGTTTAAAACAGAAATGCTTGCCTTAGCTAATCTAGCCGTTGTAGAAATATGATACACTGACTCATGGATATGATTCCTGGTGTGAGTTTCTGTAAAACCCCCAGGGTATGTAATCAATCCAAAACTGTTCAGTTCTGACATCTCCATTTTATTCCCCTATAGCATTGCATGAAGCTTGTAAGGAGACGAGTGGTCTTTATGCACAGCTTAACAACCTCTTCTTGGTTAGAATGGCGTCTTATGCAATGTTGCCTTACACACTACCATTGGAGTCTGCCTATTCTTTTGGTTGCAGGTACGTGTTCTGAGCAGCTAAATTTAGCTGGCTTCATGGTGTCTTTTATAAATATGGTTATTTTACCAAGTTGTTTGACCACTGTATGAACCTTCAACAGAAGAACAAAAGCATTAACATAAGGAGTAGGCTGTGCAGCCCCTTTAGTATGTTCTGCCATTCAGTAAGATCTTGGCTTCACTTCACTTTCCTGCAATTTTGCCTGTGACTCTTGCTTTTTCTCTCTTTTTATAGTCCAAAAATCTGTATCTTGGTCTTGAATATATTCATGACTCATTGAGGCAAAAGCCTTCTCAGAATCCATCCTGTCAATCCCCCTCAAATTTTTTGTTTCAATCAGATCACCTCACATTCTTCTAAACTCCCAGCAGTTACAGGCCCATCCTGCTTGTAAAACAACCCCTTCATTTGCAATAATCAATCTAGTGAACCTTCCTTGAAGTTTCTCAAGTGCAAGTACATTCCTCCTGAAATAAAGAGACTAAAACTGTGTATATTTAATTTATTTGAAGCATTAGGAATAACGTGTGCTTTTTATTCCCTCTCCTGTTCCCTCTTTTACAAAAAAACAAAAATCAGGTAATGCATTCAGACTTGGAAATGAACATCTTTTTCATAGAATTGAGATAAATACTGAAGGAAATTAGCAGCCATTTTGTACAGACCCCTTTAGAAAATCCCTTTTGAGGAAAGGGTAAAACATATTTTTTAGAAGCATCTTTAGAATGATCTCATGAACTAGGAAATCATTGACCTTTTGTGCCTTACCAGTGATTAGGGAATTGTTGTCATTCTCATAACTTTTTTTAAAAATAGGGTTAATGATGTAGTCACGTTTTTTTTTTTGCTTTATGGTTCCCTTGCTGGGTAACAGTACCTTTCCTTAAAATTTTTTAAGGACATGTAAATATATGATAAAATGTATTTGTTCTTTAGTAAAGATCAACTAACTGATTCCAGTAGAGGACACAGCAATCTGAGTTATGGTCCTTGGCTAAATGGACAAGAATCTACCACGGTTCCCACCCCAGTGATGCCAATGGAAAGTGTAAATGTATAATTGCCACTGCCACTATTAAGTAAATTACTTAGATACATAGTTCAATTCTCATGGAAAATGGCCATTTTCACAAGGCATTCAGGGGTTGCCACTTCTTAAGGAGCTGTGGCCAGTGTGAAAGGAGGACTCCATTTTCTGTGTGTATGTGTGTTTACAGTATGTTTGGATTTCCTTTATTACTTTACAAAATTGCAATTAGAGCATCAGAAAGGATACTTGTCATAGGAAGCTAAACCTGCATAGTGATACCCAGTGCTCTTTCAGGTGCTGACTCAACTGGGGGTGGATTTGCCCCGTGTGCCAGTGACTCCCCATTGGTTGTAATTACACGGTAGCTATTGTTCTTGACAACATAAGAAAACAAAATACAGAAAGTGCTGGCAATCTAAAAGAAAAACAATGCTGAAAATACTCTGTCTGAATAGATAACCTTTCATCAGAACCATTAAGTCACTGGCCTGGGAGTTTCTCTCCCCATAGCTGTGACCTGATCATTCCAGTATTTCTAGTACTCTTTATGACTTTTTTTGTTTTCAAAAGACTGGCAGTTTGTCTACAATATCAGCTAGTAAGGAACTCCATTGCGTCTGGCTAAGAGTCAGACTTCTGTTGCACAATCTGCCAAGAATGATTGTAACTTCAACCAGCAATGGCTTGAAACGGAGAAATTCCCTGTTTTCTTTTAACCTGGTTGGTTTTGGGCAAATGCTGGTTTGATTGCAGTCAATAAAGGAACATCTCAATTACAATAACTCGGCTGCTGCAGCTTCCGTGTGACAAATGTGTTTTTGGAAAACAGGTTAGTGGAGTGGCTTCCTGATGTCCCTGAAGATGTCAGTTGGATGCGTGAACAACTAAACCTTATCAGTGGTGTGATTTATCACCGAGCAGCAAAGCAGTTTCGGTTGTGTCCACGTTCTAGGTATGTAGCTCCTTTGTCTGAAAAATTTGTTTGGACGTTCTAGCTTCCAAGCATTGGATGACATCCACGTGGGTCAATTCCAAACATATATTTTTTTCTCTCAGAACAATATGCAATTTAATGGACTAAGAATTTGAAAATTTTGAACATGTTTGGGAACAAAGAAACTTATTTGAGCTAGTTTAAAGCAAAGGGTGACTTTTTCTTAATATAAGTTAATGTCATGACCAAGTTACCCATAATCTTGGATCTCTTTCTTTAGGTTTTGCGGGCCTCTGTCAGGCTACCGTTCTTTTTAGTCCAATACGAGGCAGCAAACAAGTATGGAAACAGAAAACAGGAGCAAGAGTGGGCCATTCAGCCCTCCAAGCTAGCTGTGCCATTCAGTTATATTTTCATGGCTGATCATCCACATAAATTCACGTTGTCCCCATATCCTTTGATCCTTTGAATCCTAAGTATGCATCTTTCAGGATTAAGAAGGTGTGTATGAAGATCCGTCTGTGGCTCAGGCAGTACCACTGTACCTTTTTGATCCGGAACATTCCCAATTACAGTGCTAATCCAGGAATTGATGGTAATGAAAGAATCTAACTGCTGGTGCAGACAAGACAATGTTTATCAATACGAATCCTTAGCCCAGATAAGTGGGGAGGTGTTAGTAACAGGAAAGTAAAATCGCCCACCAAATCCAAAAATTGATTTTGATCACAACCTTCTGCATACTCATCGGTATAATCAATTAGCATTGTGGTGACTCCATGCAAGATGATGTAATGAAGACTGAAAGAGGTGGTGGTGCTGGAAATGGGTATGCCAACTAACCAAATATCCCAAAGGATGTATCTGTGATTTGGAAATGAATTAGTTATCATGAGCAAATTGAACACTGATTGCTAGGTTGACTCCATTTCCACCAGTAGATACCTCGCCAATCTGACGGGCTCTTGTACAGTGGTGATGTCCCCACCTCTAGACCAGGAGGGTTCAGGTCCCACCTGCTCCAGAGGTATTTAATAATATCTCTGAACAGTTTGACTAGAAAATATCTACCACACGAATCTGGAACCGTTCCACCAATAAAATAACTTTCTTCAAGTCATGAGTTTCGAGTTTCAAATAAGAATTCTGGAAAATCCCAAAGATGCACCTTTAGGAGATGGTTGTTCTGTTGGCTGTCTAAAATGTATTTCCACTGGAATGATAGCACACATTTTTATCCAACACTGATTTTGAAGTTTTTTTTTTTAATATATCAAGGCTGTTATGAATTGATTGATCCTTTTATTTTTTTAAATGAAGCTCAACTACGCCTGATTTTAAAAGAACCTTATTTTGATCCATGAACTGATTTTCTGGTAATGTTTGCCTTATTTTCCAGAATTCTACCTAATATACATCTGAGAAAATGCCTCAGCCTACCACCTATCTCAAACCTGTACCAACCTTACTTCACTTCACAAATCTCATCTGCGGAGCTTACCTCCCAGCACTTTGGATTGAAAGAGCTTGGGAACTCAACAGTGTATGAATCTGATGCTTTCGCAAAGCAGGGTCTCGTGACTTCAGACCAGCAAATCCATTTCTTCACTAGCTCTGAATCCTGAATGGTGTTAGGAGATTTGGAAAGACAGTCGACCAGGACATCTTTTTCAGCATAGCTCGGAGATTAGAATATTGTGCCAATGTTGGCCCTTGACCAACTGGAGGTGCGTGTTGTGTGTGTATGTGTCGCAGTTGTCGTCATTCCTGTACTCAGTCAGAGGAACCAATGTGTCTTGTATCAAATTAATAATCTTAAATCCACTTAAACTTCTATCATATACAACTGTTGTTGCACATTCAAATTGTTTTTCAGGAGCCTTAACATGTTATGAATTACATAGGGCATGACTTTTAATGTTTGCACTTTATTGTTAACCAGATACAAATGGTTTCCACAGTACTGGTGATTAATGCTGAACCATTTATGGTTCATCAACTCAGAATGGTATTTATCATTTACAATCTGATAAATTTAGTAGATTATAAGTTTATTTTATTTTATTTGCATATACAGCACAATCACTGGATTTTAAACTACTGGGTATTCAGTTTAATCCAACCCACATGCATTAGTTTACCTCTCCTTTTGTATATGTACTGTTCCTACTGTGCACTCTGAAATATGCATTACTGAAGAAACAACAGATTGCATTTGTTGACTAAACCATAGTGTTTCAAATTCGTTGCTGTAATTAATCCCTGTTGAGTATGTTGCCTTTGGGACTTGCGTACTTGAATGATGTTGAATTCAGATGACTAAAATCTTGCACAATAATGTACACTTTTGGAATATCTATTGATGAGTTACTGTTTTTGCAATACCAGAAACAGTAACCTTTTAAAAACGTTTGTATTGCTATTTATTCGTGTGCTGAAAGGCTTGTTGTAACAATTGAGTGAGTCTCTAAATTTGCTTATAAATAGAATATTAAATATCTGCAACTATCTACTGCCAGTAACAGAAGATGAAACTTCCAATGAATGAACTTGCTACTTCAGTTCACAAAACTTGTGTACAAAGCATAACTTTCTTAAGCCACAATGTACTTTATTGTTCATTCATTTAAGGTGACTGAAAACCTGGAATTCTTTGGGTAAATGGTGATATTTTCTTTCTCTTTTTTTTAAATCTCTAAAGACAACTTTGTCTGGTGCTATTTTCACTGATCTTTTTGAAGAAGATATGAGAAAGTCACAAAGTGCCTTTTTTATTTCTCAGAACTAATTGATACACATACCTCGTTATTCCAAATCTCTGTTTTTTGAACATTACAACTTTTTGTATAAATGTAATTCTATTTACCTCTCTATTTTGTTTCCACATACATATTTTAAATTAAAGCAGTAATTATACTTAACAGAAATTTGTGTTCGTGTGTGGTCTGTAGAGCAGAGTGTATTTCTAGAAAGATATAATGTATACTGTCCCTTAAAGCAAGATGAGTGCTAATTATAGTTTCTCATCTAATTCAGCATTTTACAGTACTGAAAATCTTACATAGTGCTATCTCCAATGTACCAGTCAATCTTTTGTGGTGTTGCACAGAATAGAGACCAAGTTATTTTGCTTTAAGGATTAAACAGAAATATTGTACCAGAAAATGGTGAAAAATGTAATCAAGCCTGTCTGTACCTGAGGAGAGAGTTAACATTTCAGGCCTATGATATGTCACTGTAAAAGTGAGATCTTAGCTAGTTTTTTTTTTGTTCCCACAGTCAGCTTAAAATATGTCTGTCTGCACTTGCAGCTCTCTAAACCTAAGCATTTATTATCAACCTTCTGACAAGGTGGTAGTGATGTTTTCTGCAGTACTGATCTCTACATAACCAGGCTTAACATTAATTATCTGACACCTTCTCCACTTCCACCAGGCCATGACTGTGTATCATTGAATGTAATGCCGTTTTTCTATCACTAAAATCTATTATAGATCTTGCCTCAACAGCCTCCAACCTCAGACTCTCAACCTCAAATAGCCAACATTCCCCCTCCCCACCCCAAGATCCACAAACAGGACTGTGCTTGCAATTCCTTGTTCCAGCCTGTTGCTGTCCCATGGAACTGACTTTCTTATCACAACACTTTTTTTTTGTCCAAACTGTTCCCAAATAATCCATGACTCTTCCAAACTTTCTTTTTGAAAAAAGATTCTGAAGGGTATGAAAAGTCATGGACCTGAAATGTTAATCCTGTTTTTCACTCTCCACAGATAGTACTATACCTGAGTATTTCTAGCATAGTCTGTTTGTAGATACAGAAAATCTGTATTTCATTTTTGCCATTGAAATGGTGTGCATGGATATAATTTGGCTTCCATTTTAAAGAGCTGCATTCTAATGTTTATATGTGACGCCTCAATGTTTGTATAGAAAACTTGAACTCTCCACTTTCCTTGATGACAAGTTTATTAAAATAAAGCAGTTGTAAACAGGTGCTATAAACTGTCATTTGAAGATGACAAGTTTGCATGGGCTGGCTTTTCATAAATGTGAGCATAGAAAAATAAAGTTGATAGAAATATATATTTTATCTTAACAAACATGATGTGAAGACTTTTCTATTCCTGCTCACTCACCCATGCCATTATACATGTCCAAAGGGACAAGCCAATAACATTGTTGCAATAGATCTGTGTTAGAGGCTGGGCAAAAGTTAAACGATGACATACATTTAATTTAATGACGCTTCACCAGACCCAAAACGTTAACTCTGATTTTTCTTCACAGATGCTGCTAGACCTGCTGAGCTTTTCCAGCAACTGCCCAGTCTAAAACAAAAAAAAACAGAAGTTAAGAGACAAAATGTTTATTATAGATGAATATGAAATTATGCTATGTATTATCAAATAAAATTGAAGTAGAAGAATTTAGATGATCCGTGGATATAGGTGAACGGATCATTTAAAAAGTAAGATTATAGGATACCAAAGCAATTAAAAGTGAAGTTTTATTTCTCGGGACCCATAAATTCACTAGTTTGAATTCTGTTCACATTGATTGGAGTCCTAGCTAGGATGCACTGAGAATGCAAGTTATGTACTCCATATTATGAAACTATATAGAAGTACTGAAGGAAGTGCAAATAAATTTTTACAAGGATGATAGCAGAACTGAGAAAAGAATGTAGATACCGGGGAGGATCGAACAAATACTCTTCCTTTAGCAAACAGAAGACTTAAGTGAACTGAACATTTGGCCATTAAAATTTTATGAATTGTTGGACATGGTGGATGTGGAGACAATGTTTCCAAGAACAGTGTTCATAAACACAAGATTATTATAAAGCACAAGAAATGTAATTGCTATTGTTAAAATGTGGATCTCACTACCTCAGAAAATAATTGAGCAAAATAAGATATTTTCAAAATGAAAACTGGGCAAGTACATGAGAGAGAAACAAGAATAAAAGGAATATTAGTCAATAAATGTATGCAGTATGACCCAGCACAGACTCCTAGTTGGGTTAAATAGCCTGTTTTTCCAACATTTTTCTGTGTAAATTATTTATTTTTGCACTTACACTGGTGATTGCCTATGCTAAACTATCATGTTATAATTACACTTGTGGAGCTGCAACAATTCCAATCACCTAAAGGATTAATTCCATGAAGTGACCTAGTACTTCAGTGAGATTTAAGTTAACTGGATATTTCATTCTAATGCTTTTACAGAAATAGCTTGCTTTTATTCCTGAAAGATAGGAAAAGCAACATGGTGCCACTTGAGAATGTGGAGACGATACCCTTAAACTCAAGTTCACACTTATTGCACCTCTCCTTTTTTTATAATAATGGGCTAACGTTCATGATTCTGTGAAGAAGTCATTCACCCTGAATATTCAATCCTTCTATCTTGGAAGATATTTAAATTTAAGCAGAGGGGCAAGAGAAGTTTGGCTGGAGATGGCACGGGCAAGTAAGATTTGGACTTTGAGAGATTTTCATGACCTTAGAATGATCCAAAGAGATTTCTAGTGAATGTCGTACTGTAAGAAATTTATAATATCATATATACTGTAGTCATAGTCTTTTTTTTTTTAATTCTTAGTATCCCTACAGTGTGGGGACAGGCCATTCGGCCCAACAAGTCCACACCAATCCTCACAGTATCCCACCCAGTCTTATCTCTCTATAACCCAACTAATCTACACATTCCTGAACACAATGGGCAATTTAGCATAGCCAATCCACCTACCCTGCACATCTTTGGACTGTGGGAAGAAACCGGAGCTCCCGGAGGAAACCCCCGTGGATACAGGGAGGATGTGCAAACTCCACACAGACAGTTGCCCGAGGGTGGAATCAAACACGAGCCCCTCGTGCTGTGAGGCAGCAGTGCTAACCACTGAGCCACCATGCTGCCCCCAAAAGGGGACACATGAGATTTTATTAGAGGTAAAAGAACTTATAGAAAGTCAGTTTCTCCTGAAGCTTCCCTACTTCAAATGCAGTCCAGAAATCATTAACTGTGGTAAGTTTGCTGCTTCTTTGTGTTTTCTCAGGTTGTAGCCCATCTATGGGATTCTTTTCTCACTGGTAGAAGTCTGAACTGTGCTAATGTCAATTATTCTTCTACATTTTCTGAAAAAATACATCCCATACTTCTTAACTAAAATTCAACAAGTAGTTGTTGCTATATGATAACTTACCTAAGTTGCAATTAGTTATATTTGAGCTTTGCCACTGATTATTAACTTGCATCAGATCAGCCTGGTTCTGACCACATTTGTCAGGCATGACTATGAGTATACAGTGGTGATTGTTTGAAGGAATAAAAATAGCAACCCTTAATAATACTCCTTCCCTTTTTGGGCACCAAGACAATGGTAGAAGCCTGGAGATCAGCAAATTTGGCACAAACCAGTTGTCCAATACGGACAGCTTGCTAATTAAGGGAGTAATGTTTGTATTGTTTTAGCATTTTTTTGATATACTGTAGAACCACAGAAACATTACTGCGGAGAAAATGGCTATTCACCCCATTTGATTTGCACAGTTGAATAAATTAACTTCTGATGCTTAGCCTTGTAGATTATTGTGCTTCAGGTGCAGTTCCAGGTTTCTTCTAAATGAGTTGAGAGTTTTTGTCTCAACCTGAAAACTGGGCAATGGATTCCAGACAACCACCACCCTCTGGGATTTGCTTGACCAAGTTATCTGAAAGGCAGTGCCTTCCCCATCATACATACCCTCAGTAAGGCAATGATGCATCCTCCTAATATGTGCTTAATTTTTATAACAGACCTGAACTTACAAACGGATAGGTGTGTGAAAACCGAGTCAATGATACAATAACTATATACTGAATAATCTAAATTGAATATGTAGAGCATTTGTCTTAAGGGTAAAGACCCTTAAGAACAAGAACAGCACCAGGTGTTACTGCGAACAAGAGTTTGATTCTTACATTTCAATGACAATGATGTGCGTTATTTACCACCCTTCTTTAAAAGTATGTAAGATTTGAGTATGTGTAATTTCTTATGAAAATAAATGATTGAATGCTTAGTTATTAAGGGCAGAAGAATTTTCAGTTATGTACCAGAATATCATTCTCTAACTATCCTGACCTATGTTGTAATCAAATTTTATTACTTTTGATTTTGGTTGCTGTCCAAAAAATAATAACTATCTTGATCAGTATGGACCTTGTGGCCTGCTCTGTTAATATATATTGTTCTGTTAAAATATTGACAAAAACATCAATATAAACAGGGCAGGTGACTCATTTAGGTATAAGAATATGCATTTCTAAAGGCCAATGCATTGAACACCAGCACTAACAAGAATTCCAATAAAATATTTAATCAGAACCAGAATCTCTTGATTTATATGAACATTAAACAGAAAGAGTAATTACAAATAGTGATAGTTTGCATGGAAAAAAATATTTTAAATGAGTGAGGGAGCCGATGCCAGGCACAGAACTTTCAACATCAAACTTTTGGAGAGAATGTGAAACGTGGATGCAGGGGAAGTGGGAATTCAGTTATTTGGAGAAACTGGAGAAGCTATTTTTATTCTATTTAGAACAGAGAAAGTTAAAAGTGGTCAGAGTAATGAAATTTCAATACAATAAGCAGTTTTCCAAAGTGAACGCTGCAAATATTTGGAAAACACATCAGAGTGCTTGAAGAGTGGAATTAATGGGAACCTTACAAAGAGCTGGTGTCAGCTCCTGTGTTTTCAAAACCTTTTAAATAATTCCAATATTTTACACAGATATCTGGAGATGGTAAAACTGTATTTCTCAGATCTTACCACCTAATGTGGATTGTTACGTTGATTGTTCCATTATGACACCAATTACAGGCTACATATATGTACACATGTATAATATAGTTTCCAAATCATATTGGATTAAATGTAGGGAGTATCTCCACCACTGTGTGTTAACTCAAAGTTAAGAAAATACTCAGCTCTTGCCTTGAAGCTTTTTCTTACCTGTTTGATGTTCAGTACAATCAATATCCAAAACCTGCTCTGAAAACTCTGCTCACGTTTTGACAGGTGTGATTAGTTGTGCACATCCTCTAAGATAAACCACGATATTCTGAATTAAAGCACATTCTTTGAACAATAATCAAATTGCCCTATTTCGTAACGTGATAGAATTGTTTTTTTTAGAAACTCTTAAGATCTGGCACTGCATCGGTCCGCAAACTAATTTTTCTCTATCTATGCCATAGGGAGACAGGCCAGTTAGTTTTATTTTGATTTATTGTTGTTACATGTCCCTACGTACACTGAACAGTAGAGGTATATTGTGTTCAGAGGTGAAGACAGAGCCTGCTTTTCTGGGATAGTATCAGCCGTGGGCCGCATGGCCCCCTCTCGTGGGGTGGTTCTACGGACAGTTGATTGACGGCCGCTTTCAATGTGTGATTGGCCGTCGTCACGGGCCCCGCCCACCTACTACCAGCCAATCAGCGGGCGCGGCGGGGCGGTCACGTGCCGTGTGATGGCGGCGGTAGCGGCGTCCTTGCTGCAGGGCCGGACTGTGTGAGGGTTGGGTTGGATACCAGGTAGAGCCCGGCGGCGAGGAGGAATCCCGGATTGGGCTCTCAGCGACCATGGGCACCGTCCAGGCTCGGGTAAGGTCAGGCCAATGATCCTAGATTGCC